CAGGGCAGTTTTGCCCCCAGCCAGTGAGCTTCCCTTGAAGCAACTCTTCAACAGAGGGGGTGCCACCGGCTATCTCCTCTGAGCAGCTGACCAGGGTGCAGGCAGGCAGCTGCTCCAGAGATCTGAGGGCAAAAGGTTACATCCCACCCCCCTCTGAGCCTCAGTCTCCACATTTGCTCTTTGGAGGTGGAGGTTTCACTAAATGCCCTTCAAGTTCCTTTCCAGCTCTAATGTTCTTTGAACTCCAGGTTTCTTCCCTTCCAACTTAGGGAAATTATTTTCCCCACTTTTCCTGCGAGGGGAAGTATAAGACACCAGGCTGTCTCTGACGCCTGCCAAAGTGGCTGTTTTTCAATGGAAAGTCAGCTTCCTTCTCAGGTCGCTTAACATAGCAGAAGCTTCTCGAGAACAGAGAAGCCCAATGTTTCCCTCTAGCTTCTTGACGTCATTTGCCTGTGGGTGGGTTCCCATCCACCGCCGCCTCTCCAACCACACTGCATTTTATTGCACAGATGTAAAAAACACACCTTGGCATGGCAGGCCACCGAAAGAAGCAACGCAGCCCAGGAGCCCTGCCGCAAAGCTGTGGCACAGAGAGCTTCGGCTCGTCACTGCCCGTGCCAGGAGTACATGCACCATCCTCCCCCTGGGCCCCCCGCCAATACCAGGGGAATGTTCACATTGTGCTATCTCATGGGGAATTTGAAGAATCAGTTTGAAACGTGACCTGAAAGCACTTATCAATGTGAGAGGGCACATACGCGGTGGGGAAGAGCAAAGGGAGCTAAACATTCCTGGGGTGCTTACTGTGTACCAGGTACTGGGTTGGGCGTTTGCCTTTCGTTCTTTCCTTTACTTCGGCCTTATCATCGTCACACAGAAGACAGTCCAACAGTGGGGGTTTGTTTTTTTGAGACCCTAAAGCTTGTCAAGAAGACAATGTTTTGTAGAGAAGAAACCAAACTTACCATAAGCCCCCACCAAGTGGATTGTCTTTGCCAAACTTAACACCATCCACTCAAAGTTTTAAAAATCTGAGTATGTCCATCTGCAGTGCCCAGATAGGCACTGGAAATCACATTCGTTGACACAGATAATTTGCCCTTCTGGTGCTTTTGAATGTCAGAGCGTTCAGCTGATCGCAAATTTAGCTGCCGATAAATAACAGAGAAGGTTCATTTTATTCCAGTATTTTCCTTTCTACATTAAAAGTAGTCTTGCCATCTTTCCTAGTTCGTTTTTAGGTGATTAGTCTTAAAATGTGTAATAGGTGGTGAATTCAGAAGAACTGAATTTGGGCGCCAAAATAAGCAACGCTCCCTATGACCTCATGGAATAGAAACACATACTCGTTTGGGTCATGCCGGTTCTGAGTCTCCCACCGCCTCCCAACGCGGCCGCGTGCACAGTGAGGCGCGTGTGTGGAAATCACGCCACACAAGAGCTGTGACTCAGGTCTGTTCTCAGAAGAACTGAGGTAATGGCTATTAATATTTTATTTCATACATTATAGTGTTTGGAAAAGCAAACACACTGTCGTTAAGGTTACGTGCGTTGCCGCTCCGGCATAACCCAGTTTTCTTTATGCCAGGTTTTCTTTCCACACATGTGTTCAACCCAAAGGTGAATTTTCAGAGCCTTTAAAAAAAGAAAAAAAAGAATGAAAGAACAAAGAAAATTCGAAAACAATTAGGTAGAGTATTATATTTATACAGCTATGAAAAATATGACACCTTCTATAACTAGAAAAAAGTATGAAGTGTTTTCTTCTTCTTTGTTGTTCTTTCCTTCCACATGAAACTGGTGAACAACCACCAAAAACAAAGAAAAAACAAAAACACCAGTGTGGTTGAACCTTTCCTTATGGGAAGCCCTTTGTCTGAAAAGAAAAGGCTGAGTCTTCGCAGAGTGCTTTGCTGGTGTGACAAGCAGAACGTGCGTCTCGGGGGCATTTGCCAGTGTGGCTACGGCAGGGTGGCCCACTGATTTCTGCGCAGAGTGGCCTCAAGTTTCTAGCGTTCGATGAGTTGCCAGTTTCAGTCTCTCATCAACTCTGATGTGACTGCCATTTTATAAGACAGTTTTGAATAAAATGTTTTGCAGACATAGGGTGGATGCGAATTAGCCCTGGCTCACAGGGACTCCCACCTTTCGAAGGAAGGTGGCTGGCTGGCTGGGTCTTTGTTTTCTTATGTGAGGATGGAGAGAGGTAGGCTCCTTAGATCCCTGTGGATCGAGTGTGCAGGGGTTCTAGGACAAGTCCCACACCTTCTGCAACTTCACTGCTCGCTTCTCTACTCCCCAGGCTATCCCCCACCTGTGTCAGCTACGGCTGGACTATTAAGCCTGATCTGAGCAGGTCTTTGGGTCTGTGTGTCACTGCCCCATTTACTCTTCAACCTGTAGACTAGTTTTCTTGTTCTTGACAGTAGCCCCTGTACTATCTCTCACCTTCCCTCCTCACCTCTAGTTTGCATCAGAACAAGCCTGTTCTTGGGCCAGGCCTTTATTGTAGCCATGAAAGTGCTGGGCAAAGGAATCTGGATCCCACATGGCCAGTCAGGATTTGAGTCCCATCCTGGTAGTTGGAGAAACATGCTATGGGGAGCCAGCAGTTAGCGTAATGGCTATGTCGCTGGACTCCCATGTACTCGACCGCGGTTCGAGTCCCGGACCCAGTGGGTTAAAACTCACGCCAGGCGCGTGTGCGTGCGTGCCCAAGATCCCGAGAGGAGAATGGAGGAGAAGGGATTGCGGCGTGACCATCCCCCCTGGGGGGTGATTTCTCGCTTTCTATCTCTCTCTCTCTCTCTCTCTGCCTGGCGAGCGCACGTGCCCTATAGCAAAAAACTCTCAAAAAAAAAAAAGAAAAAGAAAAAAAAGAGAAACATGCTATGTGCATCTGTGCCCAGGATTCTGATAGGATGGAGAATTAGAGGAAAAAAACTTATGCAACATGACCAGGCAACGTTGTCGGGTGCTCTTACTTACTCTCTTGCTCACTCTCTCTCACCATCTAGCATTAAATAAAAACAAAACAAAACAAAACAAGCCTGTTCCGTTTCCCAGGGCCCTTCCTGGCAGCTAGGTAAGCGAACATTGCACGTGTCTTCAACTTGTGGTGAGCGACTCTGAAACCATTTTCTCTGTGTTACCTGGCCCCTTGCTCCATTGTAGGAGGGTCAGGTACTGGTGGCAGATTGGTCAGTTGAAATCATACTCCCTGATTAGGATCCCAGCTTCTTGGCAGTGGTGCCCCGCCTCTTGGCCTCTGGCTTGCAGGTGTATGTGAAGCTCAGTGGCCTTTGCTGCAGGAATCAGGCACACCAGCTGCAGGTCCTTTCAGCCTCCCTCAAGGGTTAGGGCCGGTTACTATGCCAAGCCTCCCTGCTCTGCCACTGCTCCTGTTTTGGCCTTAGACTTGAGAATGTGCTTCTAACCGAAGACAGCTGGCTTCACACTGAGTAGGCACACTGGTCTAGGGTCCAGCTCTTTCTGAAAACAGCAGGGCATGGAACCAGCAGTTAGTGTAATGGCTATGTCGCTGAACTCCCATGTAGTCGACCGTGGTTTGAGTCCTGGACCTGGTGGCTTAAACTCACTCCAGGCGCGTGTGCATGTGCCCAAGATCCCGAGAGGAGAATGGAGGAGAAGGGATTGCCGTGTGGCCATCCCCCCTGGGGAGTTATTTCTTGCTTTCTGTCTCTGTCTCTCTCTCTTTCTGGCGAGCACACGAGCCCTATAGCAAAAAACTCTCAAAAAAAGAAAAAAGAAAACAGCAGGACATCGTTTACCTGGGACCAGTCACCTGTACTTTTATATGGTGAGGTGCTGCAGTGTTCCTAATCCTGCTGCTTGAGATGCACAGGCCTTGGGCCAGTTGGTGGTGTGGTGGTTAAGGTGCTGGATCCCTCATGGCCGACTGTGGTTCCAGTCTCAGACCTGAGGGCTTGAGAAACATGCCAGGTGTATGTGTGAGCATGCCCAAATCCTCAAGAGGGGAATGGAGGAGCAGGGAATGTGGCATGGCCCTTGGAGCTACTTTCTCACTTTCTCTCTCTCTCTCTTATTCTCTCTCCAGCGAGTACACATGCCCTATTACAATTTTTTTAAAATAATAATAATCATAAAAAAAGAGAGAGTAGTATGAGCCTTTCATAGACCTTATGATGGGCCCTGATCTTCCTGCAGAGAAGGGTCTTGGGAGAGGGGCAGCCTATTAAGATGAGCCACATGAAATCGCCCAATGTGGGAGAAGCTGAACATGTTTACACTGTCAGTGATGTCACGTGGTTAAACCCTAAAGTTGAAAAGGTAGAGGAGGGCCAGTGTCTTGTCGTAAGCACACTTTTTTTGTTGTTGTTGTTGGAGAGGTTTTTTTGCTATAGGGCGCATGTGCTCGCCAGAAAGACAGAGAGAGACAGAGAGACAGAAAGCAAGAAATCACCCCCCCAGGGGGATGGCCATGCCGCAATCCCTCCTCCTCCATTCTCCTCTCAGGATCTTGGGCACGCACGCACACGCACCCGGTGTGAGTTTAAGCCACTGAGTCTGGGACTCGAACCACGGTCGACTACATGGGAGTTCAGCGACAAAGCCATTACGCTAACTGCTGGTCCCCTAAGCACACTGTTTGGTTTTTTTGTTTGTTTTTTGGGTTTTTTTTTTTTTTTTTTTGCCTAGTTTTATGTCAGATGCCACCAATAGTCTACAGAAGATGGTATTATTTTGGATGCTACCATTGCTGCTGTTATTTAGGCTATTTTTACAACTCCTGCTACTTGACATGACTTTAGAAACTATTGATGGAGGTGGGGGAATGCTAAGCCATCTCCCTGCTGCCCTGTCTCGGCCCCTGGACTGCCCCCTTTGAAACCAGTGAGCTCTGCCCCACGGCCATTCCGGTCCTCCCTGTGTTAGAACAGGACATCCCCAGCTAGTGTTCCGCTTCAGAGATAAGGGGTGGTGGGTGATCAATGGCCTCATACAATGTAGCTGTCACGGTTTCATTTTCAAAATGTCATGGCAATAAAAAAGCCATTTGCTAATAAAAAGGGTGGGATTCATCACACCGCGGTGTTCCCATCCATGCTATCACTGCCTCGCCCAGATTTCTCAGAGCAGCCTCTGGCTCTGTGTCGTAGCCGAATGATGTCATTCCAGTCGTAACGTAGTTTTCCAGCTGGCTGCGGTGGAAAAGAGGTTTATTATTGTGATATGTTTTCACCGAGTCTGAAAGAAAGTGAAGCAGACATGGATGTATGACAGTATCAGTTCTGTTTTCACAGGTGTGTCTGAAGGATACAAGGCACCTTTTACATGCAAGAGAAATGTGATTTTTGCAGCAAAAGCAATTTTAAAAAATCTTTCCTCAAGAGATTTAAAATGTATATATAATTAATGTTGGGAACTGGCCTACCTTGAGTAATTAAACTAGAAGGTTTAAAGGGTAGGCTGCCCAAGCTCTGGCCTCATTTCTGCCCCTACTGACAGGTCTCTGATTTAACCTTTGCTTCATTTTCTTCATGGAGAAGATGAAGACCTCTCTGGTGTGTGTGTGTGTGTGTGTGTGTGTGTGTGTGTGTGTGGTTTATTTCATTTTGTTTTGTTTCAGACTTTTTTGCCATAGGACATGTGTGGTCTCGAGAGAGAGAGACAGAGAGAAAGAGAGAGACAGAGACAGAGAGACAGAGAGAGTGAAAGTGAGAATCATTATCCAGAGGGGATGGCCACACTGCAATCCCTTCTCCTCCATTCTCTTCTCTGGACTCTATGTATGCATATACACACCCTGGGTGTGATTTTTCAGGCCACTAGGTCTAAGACTCAAACTACAGAGTCAGCCATGCGGGAGTCCAGTGCCTTAATCACGGCACCACCTACTGACTCATTATTTCTCTTTTTTTAACTTTTCATTCCAGTATGATGCATGCACGGAAGTGTACATGATAAATGTATAGCTTGTTGAATGTTCCTAAACTGAACACATCTCTGTAACTAACACCCTGACCAAGAAGCACAGTGTGATCAGCAACCCAGAATACCCTACCCCTTCCAATCACCTCCCACCTGGCACTCACACACAAGGCCCAGTGTCCTGACTTCAGCACAGATTTTAGCACACAGAGACCTGTGGCAGACTTCTGGCCAAAAGAACTATGTACCAATAAATTTGTGTTGTCTTGAGATACCAACTGTGGTAATTTGTTACAGCAGTCCTAGAAATGAATACAGAGATGCAGCTGGGAAGTAGTAGAGCCAGCAGTCAATGCTAGGGCTCTGTCCCCAAAGCCAAAGGTCTTAAAAACACCTTGAAATACAAGGGGTCACCAGCAAGATCATGGAAAATGCATATCATGAAAAAACTAGGCCTGGATTTTAAAAATGTTTTGTACCGATGTAAACTTATACTTCATTTTTATTCCCCACTATTTTTTGATGTACCCTTGTATAGTATTACCTTTATCTTCAAGAGGTTTTTGATCTTCTGTGGAGGACGAGATGGTAAAAAGAAAGTCTAGTGCCAGCCAGCAGCAGGTAGGTTAGGAAGTAGGTGGCATGTGTCTTTAAGGTACCCTTCCTTTCCCACCTCCCAGCCCCATATTTCCAATACCTTCTGCGTTCAGAGATATAATGTGGTATGTTACTAACCCTTCAGTATGTGTTATTTTAGTGATCCACCTTTCTGAAGTTTTCTTTAAAGAAAAAAAGGGCTGGGGGCTATTTGCTTACTTCTTCCATGAGAGAAAGAGATAGTCCCAGCAGGATCCATGCCATGGTGCACCCCTAGCCTTAGCTGGCATGTGTGACAGCATGGGCACAAATCCACTGACGTGCTCAGAGATGCCCTGAAATGTCATCCCGGAACCTCTCCCTATGGGTGTAGTTGTGTCACCCCTGCGCTAACACCTGGCCGTACTTCCTGAATCTTCTAAGAGCTGACCCAAGGAATGACTTGACTATTTATGAGAAGGAGGTCTATGCCCGGGTGCTGTGGCCAACCCTGAAGGGGTTACCCGTCTCTACTGAAGAATCAGAACTGCCAAGGATGGTCTCTCTTCCCCATTCTGCCTCACAGCTAGAGGTAACCAAAGAGTCTAAATCAGCTCTGGGTTTTCTAGGAACAGCTTTGCCCTCTTATGAAAGGGATCAATGTTGTTGGCTCCACCCCGTAGATCCCTGTTGAAAAAGAACATGATACCTGGAGTGTGGTGGTGAACCTGTGACCATGAGGTGGCAAGGATCAGGACAAAAGTGAGCCTGGTCAGGACAAAGAGTGGGGAAATAGACCTCCAGCTCCGCTGTGCCAAGCACTGCACTCCTCTAAGAGGTCTCGCTATGAGAAAAGAAAGCACTGCTCCTGTGTGTGCCAGTGTTAGCTGTGTTTCTGTTACTTGCAGCTGAATACACTCCAAATGGATCCAGGTGACTTTCAGATCACAGTAAGGCAAGCACCCAGGAATGGGCACATGGACAGAAAGAATTATTTAGAAGGAATGGAATGTTTGTAATTCCCACCCATTCTCTCACCATGGTGAACATATCCAAAGAATGATGAATCAAGGGAACCATCCAGAGAAGAGAGATTTAGCTGTAAACATCCCATAAATCTGATGTATTCCATTTGGAGAAAAGACGTACAGGGCTCATATTTTAAATAAAAATATTAGGTTAAAAAAAGAAAAAGACAACAGGAGGTTGAGGCCAGCAGGTGGCATAGTAGTTAAGGTGCTGGACTCTTATATGGCCTACCATGGTTCAAATTCTAGACCCACTGGCTTAAAAAATCATGCTGGGTGCTGTGCATGCATGAGAAATACCCAAAATCCCAGGAGAATGGAAAAGACGTGATTGTGAGAAGAGATCCTTCTCGCTGTCTCTCTGTCTTTCGCTAACCAAAAACAAGTTTTGGAGGGCAAACCCTTTTATTTGTTTATTTTTGTTTCTGATGAGGTTTGTGACCTTTTTAAAGGGACATACTATGAAACTGAATCCCTCTAGGATGGCCATCTACCCCATACTGTGTAAGACACCCTGGACAGTCTGAGGCATATTATCCCTTTACGTCCACAAGCACAGTGCATCCGTCTATCCATGGAGTTGCAGTTGGAGGTTAGGAAATATGGCTGTCGTTCTTAACAGCTCAATTGTTTACGAACCTCCCATAGCCAGGTGATCCCTTATCCTTACCCTGCTTGTGGATGCAGATGAGGACTTTCAAAAATTAAGAAAGACGTTTACTTTGTAAGGGTGATCACGGAGAAGATCTCTCACCATAAAGATAACCCAGCAGGCTAATCCTTTAAACAGAGGTGGTGATGTATATTGTGGCAGCTGAATGCCCTTCACAGCCAAGCGAGAACAATCAGCGAATTCATTCATTTAATTCATGAATTTTCCTTCTATTTACACTTTAAACAAACATGCCAGTTGTTTGCTTAGTTAACAAGCTCTGCCTTCATTATGAGCCATTAGCGGCTAGTAATAATTGAAACTGTGTTTGGATTTCAAAAATACAATAAAGCTAATTAATTCTACCCTTAGTAATGTGGAATTTGTAGTGACTGACCTAAGCTGGGCTGAAGTTTGTGTTTTGCCCTCTCTATGAAGCAGTCCGCCAGATCATCTTACAGCCATAAACACAGTTGATGGTAGACTCTTTCACAAGAAAAACTAGAGGTTAAATTCAAATGTCTACAAGGGGGTCAGGCAGCAAATATAAAACAGTGAATGGGTAGAGCAACCTCTGAGAAATGCTTGGTCTTCCTGTCTACTTTTGATGAATTTGTGAATGTAAGAAATATTTCACTTTTCGCTTAATCCTGCTATAAGGGAGAAAAGGACACACATGATTCTAAATGACAGGTGGATGTACCCAGTGTTGAGGAGCAGGGAGTAGGGGGAGCCACTGCAAATTGGAGAGGCCAGGCCCTCTCCGAAAGGGCCAGTTGCTATTTGGTCACAGTTGCTACATAATAATATGGTCTAGTATAGCTACTTCTTTCACATTTTCAATATAATTTAAAAATCGGGGTTTCAGGGACAGCAGGTGATGTGGTGGTTAGGGTGCTGATCCCACATGGCCAACTGCAGTTTGAGTCCCAAAACTGGTGGCTTGCTTTCTTGCTCGCCCGCTTTCTCTCTCTGTCTCTCTGATTAGCGTATGTGCTCTATAGCAAATCAAAAATAATTATAGATACAGTTAAAATAAATAATTATTTTTTAAAAAAGAAAGAAAATTGGGATTTCTTTTTTTCCTTAATTGCCAGAGGGCATGTGTGTTCATCAGAGAGAGAACAAGAGAGAGAAAACACCCCCCAGTGGGGCATGCTCACTCTACAGTTCCTTCTCTCCCATGTCTTCATCCTGCCAGGATTTGGGCACATATGCACACATGCCAGGCATGTTTTTCAAGCTACTGGGGTTGGGCTTTGAACCATGGTTGGCCACAAGGGATCTGACTCCCTTAACTACTAGGTTATACGGTCGGCCCCTAAACCAGGGTTTCTAGATAACATCTTCCCACTTGTAAGCTTGGGCAGTGATTTATTTATTTTTTTAAAACAAGTTAATGCTATGCAGCCACCACAGCATAGGTCAGCAGTTCTCAGAGTGTGGTCCCTGGACCAGCAACATCAACATCCCTGGAGACTTCACCAAAATGGCGATCTTCAGGCCCTACCCAGGCCTACCCTGGCAGTGAAGCCCAGTGATCTATTGGGTCGTCAGAAAAGTCATGGCATATTTTTTTATGTTTTTCTGTGCAAAAATACGGCATGACTTTTCTGATGATGCAATATTTTAACAAGCCCTCCAGGCAGGTTTACCAGGTTTAGTGTATACTGCTTGGAACCTACTCTAAAAAAATCATTAATTGTTGGTCTGAAATTTAGATTTAACTAGATGTGCTGCTCTTTACCCAGCAAAACTACCTTCAGGAGGTTTCCATCCAAGTTGGTGCTGATCAAGTGAAACCTGTGAATGGGCCAGGCTGCCTGTGCGTGAATCAGCGTTGACACTTAGGAACCATGACAGCTTAGACAAGTGAGGTAGCTCTCTGTGGCTTGCTTTATTTGTGTGTAAACTGATCCTATTACTACCAATAATTATTATTTTTATTGCTAGCGCTCCCTTTTAAGTTTGATGTTAGAATTGAATGAGTTAATACACATACAGTACTTCGTACTTTGCCCGAGAGACAGTAAACGATATCAAAGTATTTCCTGTCATTATTTTGTTTTCCTTCTTTTCTCCGCCATCATCTTCACTGCCACTGCCACCACCCACGGTCAGGGAATACTTGGACTCACCTTGCAGTTCTTTTTGTGGCTCTCGCTTTGACTTAGTTCGGAGTTGTTTCTAACGCCTTATTCCCAAAAGAGCTCCGGTGCTTGTTTCTACCCAAGTAACCTCCCGCTCTGAAATCTATTGCAGTTAACAGTGTGGCAGTCTGGTGAGGGGAGCACATCTGTGCTTGATTTTGGTTGGTTTGTGTTAGTTTTTTAATTGCCCCAGGGTACATGCACTCACCAGCGACAGAAAGGAAAAGAGAGACAGAGTCCCTGCAGTGGGACACGGTCATGCCTCAGTCCCTTCTCCTCCATTTCTCTATCCTGTTAGGATCTAGAACATGCATGTGCACATGCCCAGCATGCTTTTCAAGCCTTCAGAGTCAGGACTCAAACCCTAGTCAGCCTTGTGGTATCTGGCTCTCTCTGTACAGTACTTAACCAATGCTCTATGGAGCCAGCCTGAATCCCATTCTTTCTTCCACACCAATGTTCTGCTTCTGGAACTCTCTGTTGGTCTGCGTTCAGGTCTGTTGCGATACAGCCCATCCTTTCTGCTTCATGTGTGCCTTCACCAGCCCCAGCACAACACTTAGACATACTCCTGACGACAGCTTGGGCTTTCAGATTCCCACACACCTAGCTGGGCCCTAGGTGCTTGCTCTCAGTTGAGGTGCCTCCCTTCCCAATTAAATTTCTGCATACTCTTTGGGAAATCCCCACCTCTTTTTCCTAGGCAAGGAACATGAGAAGGCTTGACGTGTGGATCCAAAGAGCGTATTTCAAAGGAAACCAGTAACCACACTGAGCTTGCTGAGGGTGGTTGCAGGCTGCCCAAACGTGTCCCTTCACGAAGCAGCTTTCCACGCTTCCTCATGATCACAAATGACTGACTCTTGTGCATACAGTGAGAACCAACCGGATGAGCTATTACAGTTCTCAGTTGCACCATTTTATTGCTGTTCTGGGAATGGAGCAAAATGCATTATTTTATTCAATAGAGATTTTCCCTGTATCACAGTGGAGGCTAATTTTATTAGCACTTTTTATGGGAACAAACATGCTCGGCTTGGTAGGGGAGGACTGAGGTGGAGTCATGGGGATGTGAGGGAGGGGAGAGAATCCCATTTTGTCATCTACATGCTCCAGCAGAAGCAGCCAGCACACTTTAATTGGTAATTACTTACTTATCAGAAGAATTCTCCAGATCCTACAGCAAATGCATAGCTCTCAGTGGATAAGTAATGTAAGGATGAATCTAGAGACACATCCAACTACAGTAAATATTTGATAATGCAGTGAGTATTGATGTATCCTTGGGGTCCAAAGTGTATAGTCATCAGAATGTTCAGTTACTGTCACAAAAAGTTATTTCTTTGTCCTCATTTATGAGAATCCGGAACATGTCCTTTAAGATTCAGAGAAAGGGGGTCAGCAGATGGCATAATGGTTACATTGCTGGACTCCCACATGGCCCACTGTGGTTCAAGTCCTGAACCCAGAGGCTTGATGCTCACACTGGGCACGTGTGCATGTGTGCCCACAATCCCAAGAGGAGAATGGAAGAGAAGGGATTACAGCATGGCCACTTCCTCCCCCCGAGGGATTATTTCTTGCTTTCTGTCTCTGTCTCTCTGGCGAGCGCATACACCCCATTGCAAAAAATCTTTCAAAAAAAAAAAAAATACAGAGAGGAAAGGAGTCCAAATCTAGTTGGAAAATTCAAATACTGGTTTTGCCTTTGATACTTTAGCTTTAAAACATGAAGCATTTGGGACCAGAAGTTAGCATAATGGCTATGTTGCTGAACTCCCATGTAGCCGACCACAGTTCGAGTCCTGGACCCGGTGACTTAAACTCATGCCGGGCACATGTGTGTGCGTGCCCAAGATCCCAAGAGGAGAATGGAGGAGAAGGGATTGCGGCATGGCCATCTCCCCTGGAGAGTGATTTCTCACTTTCTGTCTCTCTGTCTCTGTCTTTCTGGCGAGTGCATGCACCCTATAGCAAAAACCTCTCAAACAAACAAACAAACATGAAGCATTCACTTGCAGCTTTATTGAGTTTCTTAGATGAGCATAACTACAGATACCAACCACTGCCCTTTACTTAGGTGGGGTATTCCGGGGGAGAGTATAATCCCTGACAGTTGAGCACCAGCTTTGCCCCATTTCTCATGAGGTGCT